TGCGGTGGGTGGTGGGCACAGCTACGGCGCTGTTGAGGACGTGGCGTGGAGGCTTGAGGCTTGCGGCGATGCAGCCACCCGCCCGGAGATAAGCTTGCAGCCTGCCCGGAATTAAGCCACGAATGCGCCTCGGCCCGCCCATGTGCGCGCTTCCACTCTCAACCTCCCATCAGCAACACGCTGCCACGCTGCTTCAACGCTTGTCTCTCATCAAGGTGCCGGCTTCTACGAGTTTCTTCTGTCAACGGATACGTTCCAGTCATGACTCCAGTCATGCCTCCAGCATCTTCTCCGTCGAACGCTCTTGCTATATCGCTCGGCTTCTTCGTGCTCGCCGCGGCTTCGAACGTTCATCTCGCATGACCTTGACGCAACAACTGGCGATGTCGAGCTATTGGCCGACCTCTTACCAGTCGGGATACTAGTACTTCCCGTTCTAACCGTACGCATATTGACAGAGGCGACGAGCAACTTCCGACGTCTGCCTAGGATCCTGCAGGCATCATGTAGTCTGGGCTGCATACCGGTGACCCAACAACAACGACGCAAATCCTTGAGCCGCTTGGTACATATAGACGAAACATTGAAACGCCCACACGGATCTGTTGCGGGGGACATGGGAGGATGTTAAGCCAGTGGGACCACTGCATGATCGCGATCGGTCACTGATGCACGGCTGCTCAGCATGGCCAGCCGTCGTCGGGGCCCCTACATGCTCGGAGGAGCTACCGCCAATTGAGCTAAACGAAAACTTCATCGTCGTTGCGCCAGTCTACGTTGGGTTGGAAGACATCAACTGGACTCTTGGTCCGGTTGCTGAAAGCACACGCAGGACATTTGCACCATATCGCGACTGCGCTGCAGCTCGACTGCCCCGGACTGGAATTTATGCAACGATCACAGTTGAGTGAGAGATCGTATGTTTTATAATGAGCGATGCTATTCAATGCCCCCGCGGCTCTGGGAACAAGAAGGCTCGGAGACTCCGATACCTCGGCACTACATGTACTTCCGACAACCGACAGCCGTGGACATCAATACGCTATTCACTTCCCCTCAAATGTCGATCATACATTCGGGCTCTGGGCCTACCCGCAATTCAATGCGCTCTACACTAAAGAACGTCACTCGAAGATTGCTAGGGATTGTTTTACAAATGTCCGCTAATCTAGATGTGACACGGGCGATCGGCTTCCGTCCTTCACAAGGCTAGCGTGCTGGTACGGAGTACAGATGTACTAACCCTGCCTGGAACGGTTCTGGCTGCTCCGCACTCGCACAACCTTTTTGGGCGTTAGTCCTAGATTTCCTCTCACTACAAGATTGGGTTTCGACACAGAGTGGAGAAGAAACAGTCGGAGTGCGCGAACAATGCAAGGTGGAAGACAGCATGTAGCAAAGAGAAGGTTGCAGACCAAGTCCAAAGACAGAAGGTCACACATCGAATTTTCAAGGCGCTAGGTTAAAGACACAAAGCGAAGAAGCATAAGAAAGAGCAGATTCCTCGAAAGAAGGACGGCCATCAAAGCAACTTCGCATCGAATACAACCAACATGCAGCTTCTCAAGTTCTTTCTCCCGCTCGCCTTGAGCGCACCTTTCTCGGCGGCGCAACCACTCGATGAGAGAGCGATCTCTTCGAGCTGGGCTGGGGTCAACTCGTACTTCCTTCATGCCTACCAAAAGTACGCACACCTCAGGACTTCTCGTGCATATACTCACCATCCACAGGGCTGATCGCTTGGCTGTACTCGACGCGGTCAAAGATGCGAAGCTCAAGACGCTGCGTATCTTCATCTCGCCCACGCCTCAGAACAACAAGGACACTGGCTCAGTCAACATGCCCGATATCGAGCCACAGCAGGTCGGCACATACGACGACACCCAGCTGAAGGCCATCGATCAACTGATGGTCGAGGCGCATGACCGAGGTATCAAGCTCATCATCGCTATGCATGATCGCTATCAACTGGGCTGCTGGGGTAATGGTATGTTCCCTTCAAGATCGGACTGAAATTATCGGTGACACTGACATGTTCGACCCAGATACATACGTATCGAAGTACAAACTCCCAGCCATCGACTGCGCGAGGACGCCCGCCGCTCAGAACGACGTGACGTTCTTCTACCAGGACGCATCGCCCATCTTCGACTTCGACAACCGCCTCACACATATCCTTCAACACAGGAACTCGCTGCTCTCAGGTTCACCGCAGTGGAAGAATCTGTCCGACTATATCTTCTCGTTCAACATCCAGAACGAGGGACAGGGACATCTGCGCAACAACATTGCGCCTGCACCAGAATGGTGGTGCAATCGAAGCAAGAAGATGCGAAGCATCATGGGCAGCAGCGCCATTCTCATCTCGACAGGTACGTGGTCTACATCCCAACTCGCACTGCTCTGTGCTCAGAGACAAGGATACTGACTTTTCATGTTTAGGCGGCGGAAACGAATTCCCCAACTCCGACATCCCCGAGAACTGGAACTGCGCGACTCTCGATCTCGTCGACATCCACTCCTACAGCGGCGTATCCGAATGGCGCAACAAAGCGCCCATCGCACTGCAGCACGCCCAAGCCGCCAAGAAGCTCGTGCTGTTTGAGGAGTTCGGTGCGTCTGGTTCCAACAAGGCGAGCGTGGTCGGTCAGCATATCGACATCTTCAATGGGCTCAAGGTGCCGTGGATGATTTGGCAGATCAACAAGCCAGGGAAAGGCGCGGCGGACTTTGAGTTCTGGACGAATGAAGACACATTTGGAGTAGTGAAGCAGGGATCGGCAAAGGCATTGAGTATTTCGGCGGCTCAGACGTTTCCCAACCTTGCATAGCTCACATTATGGGCGCCAGACGGGTAGATAGAGATTGCAGATAGCTTACATCGCTGCATGACAACTACGACTTCCGGTAAATATCACCCGTACGCTTGATCTCGTCGTCGACGTCCTTTCCTCTGCCTGCAGCTTCTAGCTTCCTTACTAACGGTAATACTTCCTTGCCGAAGCGCTCGATGTCCTCCTCGTAGTGCAAGTGAGCAGTCAGCACCAAGTCCACGCCCAGACTCTTCAACAGCAATATCCGATCGGCGATCTGCTCTTTAGTACCAATCAACTTGGTCTTGAAGCCGTCGTTGTACTGCACCAAGTCTTCCAGCTTGCTGTCCGCCCACATTCCCTTCTTATTTCCTGTGCTAGCACCAGCCTGTTGTACTGCTTCTCGGAAAGCCTCCACGGCCTCCGTGTCGGCTTTCCCTTGAATCTCTTTCAGCACGCGGATAGCTTCTTCTTCCGTCTCACGGATGATGACGAAGCCGTTCACCGCGAACTTCACTTTGCCTTCGCGCCCAGCTGTTCGCGAACGCTCTTTCACATCCTCAATCTGCTCGCGAAAGCCATCCAGATCGTTGCCGTTCATGAAGTACCAATCACTGACTTCAGCGCCATTGTTCCGAGCGTCGTCGCTATTGCCGCCTTGGAAGATCTTCGGGTGCGGCTTCTGGAGTGGTTTGGGTGATAACTTGTAGTTCCGGAATTGATAGAAGTCGCCGCCAAAAGTGAAGCCCTCGTCACCAGCAGTCCAGATCCCCTTGAGTGCGCGAATGAACTCATTGGAGCGTCGATATCGTTCGGCATGCTCAAGCCACCATTGCCCGATGCTCTGGAATTCGCTCTTGTTCCAGCCGGAGACGATGTTTACCGCAATGCGCCCATTGGTGTAGTTGTCGATGCTTGCGATTTGCTTTGCGGCGACAGTGGGGTTCCATGGGCCGGGAAGTATTGCAGCGATGAGCTTGATGCGCTCGGTGTTGTGCAACAACGCCTGAGATAATGATACGCTTTCGTGCTGGTTATCGGCTCCATACGACGCGGTGAAACGAATCTGGGTGAGCGCATACTCGAAGCCGTAGGCTTCGGCCGTCCGGGCGTATCGTACGTTGGATGCAAGGTCCCAACTCGTCCGCTGGGCAATCTTTGAGACAACGAGACCGCCTGAGACGTTCGGAACCCAGTAACTACAGTGTCGCAAGGTTAGGAGATGCGGCAAATGGCTGTCCGTGGGAGACAACTCACGCGAACAATAGACGATCAGGATCTTGGTTCAGGTCTAGCTGCTCTGTGGGCGTATAATCTTGTGCTGTCTTGTTCAGGTGTCCATTGGCGCCATTCGTCGTGCCATTCTGTGCTGCTGCTAAACATATTATCAGCCCTACACATAATTGATAGCCCTAGTATCCGATAACCTTACCTGTCTTTTGTCTCTTGCGCGGCGTCATGGTTGTCTGGAGGTATACAATAGAATGTAAGTTTGAAGACACGGAGGTATGTGAGTTGAGTACCCGTACTATGCTGCCCCGGAACATGGACTTGGGGTTCGATTGCAGATCGGACGTACGCATTATAAGCGTGGATTGCGTGATATGCATTCATCCGAGAGCGGGATTTGTGGGATTGCCGTAGATTAAACCCGGTACGTAGACTTGATGGTCTTCAGCTCTAATGCAGCCGACGTGCCGCCGATCTTGCCTAAACCAGCTGGCAGACTTCTATATTGCAGCTCAACATCTCGGCTTCGTGTATGACAAGCTGTGGTGTATGATCTTGCGACAACTTCACGAGTCCGGCATCCTCAATTGGCTGCTTACAAGCTTCGGCCTACTGGTCAATGGGGCAATCCAACCTTCCGAAGACGTGATGTGCCGTAACCTGCAGCAAGATACTCAAGCACCGCATACCCCACACCAAGATCGATCAGGATAGCGAGCTTCGACTACGACACTACGATATTGTCCCGACACGACCATGTGAACGCTACTGAGCACTGAAAGTAACGCCGAAGCACGTAATCTACCATCGCATGGTCGCAATGGTAACATGCCGACACCGCCGTTGTCCCGCGTCGATGTGGTCTCTCTCAATATGGGAGCTCATGACCATTCAGTACAAAAGACTGTCTATCAAAGCCAGTCGTTTGTATGAAGGATTCCTTGCGCGCAGTTAATCATGTCCAAAATCTCAACGACCGACTTGAACAGCAAAAGCAGCGCTGGCACGACCGATGTCGAGAAGCAACTCACCCATGAGTCTCCGACCGTGCCAATCGCAGCTCCAAAGACCCTGGGTGCTGGAGTTAGTTATGCTTCCAGTACATTTTACCCAGTTGCTAACGTGTCAAGACGGCGCTTCCAATCGGGGTCTTCGCGACGACTTTGACCACGCTGTCACTCAGTCTCATGGAATGGCGAGGAGTGACCACAAACAATGTCTTCGTTGCCAACTTCTTCTTTGCGGCGGCATTCGGCAAGTTATCGGAACGTGCGATGTATGTATGGTTTGGCTGACTGAATACCAGGCTTGGTAGTGACTGCACAGTGGGAGCTGTCCGTCGGTAACGGTTTCGCTTATACGGTCTTCAGCGCTTTTGGTCTGTTCTACGCAGGCTTTGGTGCGATCTTGACCCCTGCCTTCGGGGTTGAGGCAGCGTATGGAGGCGATGTGAAGCAATACAACAACGCTCTCGGGTTCTTCATGATTAGTGAGTTGCTCAAAACCGACAAGTGATGAGAGCGCAACTGATGGTGTGACAGTGTGGACGGTCTTTGCGCTGGTATTCCTCGTGGCCTCGTTGCCGACAAACCTGGTCTACATCATCATCTTCTTCTGTGTCGAGCTAGGATTTCTTCTAGTCTCGGCGTCTTATTTTGCCACGGCAGATGGATACCCGACCTCGTCCGTCGCGCTCAAGAAAGGCGGTGGTGCGTTCTGTTTCTTGGCTGGATTGACCGGATGGTATCTGACGTTCGCGTTGCTGCTCAAAGATTCTATCGTTGAGCTGCCACTCGGCGACACTTCCCGGTTCTTCGCGAAGAGAAAGGCGGAATAATCTACAGGCAACGGAAGGCTCGCATGCTGTTCACGGAAGGTGTCTCGGAGGTGCGCAGTCTGCTGGACATTGTGATGGGCCGTGATGGTGCGGAGTTGGGGATGATGCGATTGAGGGGTTAGATGGCGAACGCGGTTCGCGTTCGGACGTGCGCACGGGTTGCAGACTAGTCTCGTTCTGGGTTAGCACAAATGGGATGATGCAGGTGCGGTCCGCCGACGCGTCTCACTCTGCAGCTCTCACTTCACGTTCACATGTTGTACCAACACTGCACCGTGCGATCTACCCCCACGGTATCGGAATATCCCTAGCTATACTTGCCTGCCGGCAGACAGCTCAACTTTCACCATGTCGGCGGTATATCCCTGTCTCTCCGGTCGTTCCCCTCGCCATCGTAAACCTACTGAGGTGTCTATGCGCATCAATGCGAATGGCTCAAGAATGAACAAATAGCACGCAATATTCTGCGTAATTCTCATCATTCCGAGGGATGTTCTGCGGGGTTTAGATATAAGATCGTGATCGAGATGTCGAGATGTCATCATTCTATCCATTTACACGATGGCCATCACGAATGGAACTAACAGCGAGTCCGGAAATGCGCAGCAAGTCGACTTCAGAGATCCGGCTGTCTATGCTGAGTATGAGTCGAAGTGGTCATCTGCTCCTCAAGACGAAGCTGGCTGGCTCCAGCGTGCTCAAGATGTCGCTGACGTTCTCGCCGTCGATGCCGTCCTGCGAGATCAAGAGAACAAATCACCGCGAGCAGAAGTTGCGCTACTGAAGCACTCCGGATTACTGAAACTCCTTGGTCCGAAGCAGTATGGTGGCGGTGGTCAGCCTTGGAGTGTGGGCTACAAGGCGATACGGAAAGTCGCCGAAGCAGACGGGTAGGATCCTTTTTCCCCGTACGCGAATGCTGACTGACTGTTTCAGGTCAATCGGCATGCTACTCGGCTACCACCTCCTCTGGTCAACCACAGCAAACATCGTTGGCTCACCCGAACAAGCCGATCGCTTCCAGAAGCTCATAATCTCGAACAACTACTTCATCGGCGGCGCCGTCAATCCCCGCGACAGCGACCTATCCATCAAGTCCGACGGCGACGGCCTCGTCTTCAACGGGTTCAAGTTCTTCAACACAGGCGGTGTTGTCTCCGATCTCACGGTTCTCGAGGGCGTATACGAAGGCACCGGGAATCACATCTTCGCCTTTGCCAAGACGGATCAACCCGGTGTACAATTTGGGCATGATTGGAACAACATCGGTCTGCGCTTGACGGAGTCGGGCAGTGTGAAGATCTCCGATGTGCGTGTACCTTGGGCGGATGCACTGGGATGGAACATCGAGAAGAAAGAACCAGATCCCCGCGCGCTACAGATACCGTTCGCGACGCTGCTGCTCCCCACTATCCAGCTCGTCTTCAGTAACTTCTACCTGGGCATTGCGCTAGGCGCACAACAATATGCAGCGAAATATACAGTGAAAGGAACTCGGGCATGGCCATTCGGTGGTGATGTAAGCACATCTACATCCTCCGAACTAGCACAAAACGCTAACGCTTAATCAGAACAAGGAGAAAGCCACCGACGAGTTCTACATCCTCGAACGCTACGGGAACTTCCACGCACACCTCCGCGCCGCATCCGCCCTGGCAGACCGCGCAGGTCAAGAAGTCGATGCCATTTTGAACAAATACGGAGGCGAACTGGACAGTCGCGCAAAGCTGACTGCACGACAGCGAGGGGAGCTGGCCGAATGGGTTGCAAGCGTCAAGGTCGTTACAACGGACACCAGCCTGCGGGTTACTTCTGGGGTGTTTGAGGTCACAGGCGCGAAAGCAACAAGCGCAAGAGTGGGCTTGGATCGGTTTTGGAGGGACGTTAGGACGCATACGCTGCATGATCCTGTGGCGTATAAGAACCGAGAGTTGGGGAGGTTCGAGTTGTTGGATGAGATCCCGGAGGCTACTTGGTACACTTGATTATACGTCCCACCTTTACCAGTACGTCTCTTCCAGCCCTTACTCGTATTCGTGCCGTGCGCAGCGCTCCGGTTGTATTTTGGATAGCACTTGGAATCGAAATAAAGGGGAAGATCAAACATGAATTCCTCTTCTACTATATGCTCGCGCGTATGTTCAGTCGAAACAAAAGGTCGTAGTCTGAAAGTCGTCAGAACCAGTGCCAACGGTCTTTCTCGTTCATCATGATCTGATACCGATGCCAAAAATGGCTCTTCTCTGGTTCCTGTCTAATAGCGCACAACGAATCATCGCGTATTTGCTGGAGGAACTGCTCTGTGATGTGCTTGCGCTGTTCACTTCCCTCTTCACCCCACTCGGCGCGCATCTCGATCAATCTCTCTTTTTGTATCTCTCGCATGCGATTTAAACGTGCGTTATGTTCTGCAAACGCTTTCTGAAGCGTCTCACATGGAGGCGGGGATAATGTAGCTTTATCATGTAGTTCGTCGTTGGTTGATACGTAGTGCAGTGTCCATTGGCCCGGTTCCTCGAATTGCAGACCACATCCAGTCACTGGACATATACAAGGGGCTTTGAGAGTATGCAGATAGTATGCTTCCGTTGCCTGAATGAGGAGAAGTTTTCGCGCGTGATACATGTAGTCGTAGGGCTCAGTCTCGTCGTGCATCCAACGCCACCATTTACCAGCGGGTCCGGATCGTTCCTGAAATGGCGGAACTACGAGACGCGGTGTATCCAAGGGCTCGATCGGCTTCCAAGTTACTGGCTTATTGATAGACTTGATCGCCTGCCAACGCTTCCTCGACCTGGGACGCTTCTGACCATTGTGGTCAACATGAAAGTTCGACGCGCGTACATTAATCTCATTCGGACATGCTTCTGCCAGCTGCGTGAGAAAGCTGGGGGGCTCTGTGCCGGATTCGAGAATATAGTCTGTATGAAGCACGACGCTCACGACATCGGGACACCACTCGCGTAGTACCTGCCAGAACGCAGCTATCTTGTGCTCTGCGTAGAGTCTCGCTTCCTCCTCATCTGAAAACTTGGTACGATGCCGTATGAGATCCACCCAGTCATCGTAGAGAGTCTTGTTCGCACTCCCAAGCTCGATGAGGATGTATTGCATGTACTTGTGAGCCTCGAGAGCGGCATGTGTAAGGCCCGTATATCCGCCAGAAAGTAACCAAGAGCCACGTATGCGATATTCGACGGCAGGGTCAGACCAGAAGGTTTTGGCGGCTTCTTCGCGCGTGGCAGGTGATGCGCGCATAAGCTGGAAGAGCGTTGCGTTGTCGCAGAACGATATGATGTGGTGCTGAAGCTCTAATGGCAGGCGTGGAAAGTGGCTGAAATTGTCGAGCAAGGAAGACTTCATTCTTTCTCCTGGACGAACATGGTGTCGGAAAAGTACGCGTATCTCGCCCTGGGGTGTCGCGCATAGGTCCCAATTCAAGGACGTGGTCCACGGGCCCTTGAGTACAATAGTGGGTCGGGTTCTTCTAGTGGGCATGCTGAGTAGATGGATTCGGAGAGCAGTCTGGATTAACGTGGTTTGCTTTTCTTCGTTGAGAGTGTGTAGTAGTAGCGGTACTTCGCGATGGTGTTGTTGTAATGGATTGTTGCCTACACTAACCCGTCTGCAAGCGGTTTAGTGTCTAGACACTAGTGCACTGCCACTGCCCAGGTCTGGGGCCCGAATGTTTACATGTCTAACTCCATAAGCATATGCAACAAATACATCCTGTACAGCGACAGCCTCGGAAACTCTACGGAGTCCACCACAACAGGCTATTTACCCATCTCGTGTTATATCAGAACGGAGTCCAAGGGAGAGCGAGAAAGACGTTAAGGGTACCTAAGATCGCTGCTACAGCCGCTCCCTCCGACTCCTCTCGACCCCCTTCCCTTCCCCACCCACACCTAGTCACAACCCCTTCCCACCCACCAAATTTCTCCTCAACGCCTCCAACTCCCCATCCCCAAGCCCACAATACACTCTCATATACCGTTCCGCGCCCCCAAACCGCTCATCCAACATATCCAAACTCGCCAGCATACTCTCCTTCCTCGACCCCACCATGCGCAACGCAGCTTGTCTCCCCTTCTCCAGGATCTCAGGCGGGAACTCCGAGGTATCAGAACCCTCGCTATCCCGTCCTTGGATCATCTGTGCCATCTCCTCTTTCGATAGAGGTTTTCCGGTAGACTGCGCAAGCATATACTTCCTGAAGCCGGGACTCGTCAACAAGCGCTCCACAATCTCGTCTCGCGCAGGGCGGAGGCCGAGTTCAGTGAGTTGGTACTCCTCGGCGATCTGCTCGCGCGGTACACCGAGGAAATCGAAGAGGAGGCCGAAGAAGATTCCCGTTCGGTCTTTGCCGGCTGTGCAGTGAATTAGTGCACCGAGTTTCTGTCCTTCTTTCCCCTCGCCATCACTACTCAGGCTGGCCAGATACCGCAAAATAGTCCCATACGCCCTCCCCCCATCAGTCAGAATACTAGCATAAGCCTCCACAAACCCCTTGACATCCTCATCCATGTAATTCGCATACCGCTCCGCCTGCAGAGGTAGAGAGGTACAAAGTCAGTTTATGTCTCACATCTCATATGCACTTCGTACAGTAGTCAGAACTTACCAACCTCTCAGGACTATAATCCCTCTCCTCAAACACCGGCGTCCACGTCCTCCTCACACCCGCCTCCTCCATAGCCTGAATCCATCCCGGCCTAAAGTCTCCCTCCCCCTCCCCCTTACTCTTACCCTTCCCATTAACATCATCCACAACAATACCCGCCCAGCCTTTTTCTACTTCGGGTAAGCTGCGTAGGTCGAAGACGTGGGCGACGCCGATATCGCGGACGGCGGTCCAGCCGGCGGTGTCCAATTTGGCGACTTCGGCGCTGCGGAAGAGGATACCGGGGCGCAGGGTGGCGCCGGAGGTGGTGGTGAGGGAGTGGGTGGCTAGGCGTAGGTTGTTGATGTTGGGGATGTGGGTGTAGAAGGGTGGGGTGGGGAGGGTGGGGTTGGAGGGGGATGGCATGGTGGTGTGGTTGTGGTGTAGCGGTTATGGCAGTAGTGTTGATATGTATATTATTTGCTGGCAGATTTCCGCTGTTTCCAAAGGGGATTTCGTGGGGGTTGTGTAGAGGTTCACGGACTATTCGGTGTGAACGGCTGGTAATGTGAAGGGTTTTAGTTTCAGGACACGATATGCTATATGTCAACGGCACAGCTGCTAATGCAAGGGGGAGCCTTCACAACACGTGTTGTGTTAGATTTTGGTTGGACCTAGGCAGTCAGGACCAACGTTCATGATGTGAACATCAGCCCCACCATCCCACTCACACTAGCCATGTGCCGAGGTGTAGAGCGGGATGACTGCACATGCCCTGGTGGTAACCCCGCCGCGTAATCAAGCAATCATCCGTACTTCACGCCCATAGCCCACATCTTCGTCGAACAGCTTCAAGAAAACAAACTAACTTCGATTTCTGGGGGTATACATATGATCATCAACCGCAAGACGGAACCACACATCTCACCAAGCCAAATGGTGGTATATTCCCTCGAAACCTATACACCCTTTCCAAAAACTTTGGAAGAAATGAACCCAGGACTATATAGATAGTCTATGACGCCACAGACGCCCGCGAGACTTTTCGTAACGCACTCGGAAAACATCAACAACCGTTGTGGTGGTGACCACAAAAAGCCTACGAAGGCTTATCACAACCAATGCGACCGAGCAGCTCCTTGCGGTCGCCATGACCGGGAATACTAATCCCACTTGCGCGCGAGCTTTCCCTCTTTGCTTGTCGGCGCTGGCTGGCGCCGTTGAGACGCGCAAAGGTGAGGGCATCGACGCCGACTTCCTCCTCCTTTGGCGTCATGGAGCTCATTCCGCTCTCGCCGCAGGTGGTGGCCATGTTGAAGATGGTCTTGGTCTGTTCCTGCTCGACCTCCTCGTCCTCGCCCTCGTCATCTGAGCGCAGATCCTCAGCTGCGTTGCCCATGAGCACTTTGTATACGATCTTCGCAATGGTAGCGAACCAGATGCAGCAGAAGACCTGGAGGGTGAGGAGGAGCGCGAGGAAATAGTATCGGAGTTGCGGGTTCCAGCAAATGGGCCCGTTGCGGTCGTTGTACGCCTTGAGTAGGTTGCCCCAGTGGTTGTTGCCGCCGTATGCTTCGAATTGTGAGGTGTTGGATGCGGGGACGAATGAGGTGTACTTCGAGGTGGAGTCGGCGAGGTAGCAACCGGGTGCCATATCGACTGGGGCGTATGCGTAGATGGACCAGCAGACCATCATGTAGAGAACGTGGCGGGTAACGACCCAGGCGATGACGAAGAGACCGAAAGCGTAGTCGCAGGCATTCGAGTAGCCCATGTACTTGAGGAGTTTTGCAGTCTGCAATCGTCAGTTCTCGTGCTCAACTTGTGATTTCGGTCTGCTTACCGGCAGGATGATGTCGACAAAGTCCATAATGGTCAGAATGACGATTCCGACGCGCATGTGGAAGTAGCCGTAGGACAAGCACATCAGCGCAGTGGTGAAGATGTGGTGGGTGAACATCTGCGCGTAGTCCTTGCGCTTCTCCTCAATGTTGACGACAAGAAGCTGCTGGACCCAGAAGCCCCATTGGACGAGGTAGTACCACTTGAAAAGGCCGTCTGCCTCACGGAAAGGCCAGCCTTCCCATATGCCGTGCAGGTCTAGCCAGAACTCGGAGTGGTACATGATGTACTGTAGCCTTGTTAGCACTGCCATTCCGTATGTTCTGTGTTGTGCGACATACCATTCCCAAGGACCATGACGCAGTGTAGTAGACGATCAACCAGGCCTGCTCCTTGAACCTGTCCAGGCCCTTCTTTGTCCTGATGCCACCCAGCCTTGCCAGCGGGTCGAGCAGGTATTCCATGACTGCGACGCGTACACCAGTGAAGATGACGGTCCACAGTAGGACAAAGGGCAGATCGTCGGTGCCACAGCCGTACATGTTGGTGTCGGGGTTGTAGTACGACATGTGGAAGAACTTGTTGGTCCGGCTGCGGGCGCGGGGGAAGAATGTGTGCGTGAGGACGAGGAGGGTGAGGAGGTTGACGGAGATGCCTGTAGGAGTCAGTATTCGCATGTTCAGTATTCTCGAGGGTCTGCGAGAGCGTACCAATCTGGTGTTCCAAGATGAGGGTGCACAGAGAGGCCATGAGCCCCTCATCCTCGACCTTCTTTGCCTGCATATTCCTCCTCTTGGGCGCAGCTGGTAGCTTTTGCGCTTGCATGTCCGCCGTGTGCGTCTTTCCCAGCGCGCCGTTGGCGTTGTGTGTCGTCGCCATGGTGGGTGGTTGCAATATGCCCCAATGTGGGGAGCGAGAGAGTGATAGAGCGACGCTGTCGCGATACCCGCTGTCTCGAGGCGGTCCGATAGAGGAGCCAATGGCAGAAGAATGAATTCCAGAGAGTGCTTGCAGGCCGGCGACGGTTTCCGGTGTCGGTTGCCGGCGTGTAGTGCGGCGTGTGGGCTCGATGGGCGTCGTTGGTTGTCGCTCAACAGTCACTTCTTAGCGAACGGATTGGGGTGCGTGTCTCAGCAACCAACAGCCATTGAGCAGCGAAACGGCAGAAAGAATGGGCGCGGTAGGCTGTCGATGCGTAGGCGAGGTTTCGGCGGGGGAGAGCACGATGCGCCCGGGCAGAGCAGAGTCGAGGGAGCGGTGTGGTGGTCCCAAGCAAAGATATTCAGGGTTTAGAGATGGATGGGGCAAGCGCGGATCAACAATCTCCTGAGCGGGCCACGCGAATTGCACCTTTGCCTGCGTGCCAGCTTGGAGTCTGGGTGAAGGATGGCACAGGCGGTTCCAATTGCTCTCCCTGTATTTCTGGACAGGTGTCGCGGGAGCTAGCAGTATTCGCTGTAGCAAGAGCTGTGTCTGGAGCGCGCTACTTCTCTGCCCACTTCAAAAATGGGGCCTCGCCTAACCCGACTGCAGCATGCGCCTAAGGGTGTAACGCGGACAAAGACTGGCAGTGTTGCATCGCGCGAAAGGAGGTGGCGAGCCTATATGGAAGCTCAGTCTCGTCCCCTTCTGCCCCTAACACGGCCCTGCACCCGTTATCGTCGAGTTCCTGCGAGAGTCGGTTTGCCAAGACATCCGCCGACGAAGCTTGGTGCTTCGAAAATCAAGGGTCCGGGCGTTTCACCCTCCCGACCTATCAACGCGCCCACGCTCCCTGCAGCCCCATAGTGCTACCCCGCCATGGCCTGACCGATATGCATGCATAGCTATTGGATGCAGCATGCGATAGAATGGTCGCCTCTATTCCATCATGAGACGGAAGAACTGTCTTCAGCATACAAACACCGATTATCTGGTAATTGCTTTCGGTGCGAAGAGAAGTGTAAAAGTGGTATTATACAACTAAAGCTAAGTAACATAGAGTACGATAATCAATACCCAGCTCCTTGACCCACACGCTCCAAGCATAGTGATATCAATACCCATAACGCCGTACAATTTCTCCCAAGCGAATCTAAGCTCCTACTTCATTCCCCCACCTAGTTGTTGTTCTGCGAGTTGAGGATCCTCAGGATGGCAAGGAACAGGTTGATGATGTCGAGGTAGAGCGAAATGGACGCCGCAATCTCCTCCTCGACGTGGTAGTGGCGCATGATCATTTGTGTGTCCACCAGGATGTAGCCAGAGAAGATGAGCGCGCAGACAACGCCGTATCCTAGCTCGACCGAGCTGCTGTGCGGGAAGAACATGGACATGAAGCCGAACAAGACCACCACCCACAGCGCGCCGAAGAGGTACGGTGCCCAGTGCGTGAAGTCGTACTTGCTCTGGCAGGCGAACAAGCTCAGTGCAATGAATATGCCCAGTGTGAAGAAGAGCGCCTGCAGCACAATCCTGGAGTCGGTGAAGGAGACGATGACGGAGATGGAGTATGCTTCCATGGCGGTGAAGCCGGCGAGGAAGAGGAGGTTGGTCGGGTACGACTTGCGCTTCCAGAAAGTGAGGCCGAGGAAGACGAAGGAGCCGATGAGCGACACCCACATGAGCGCGGGCGTTTGCTGGATGAAGTTCTTGTACGATTCCGACATCATCGAGAGGGCGCTAACGGCGGCGGTTGCGAGGAGTTGAACGGTCCTGTAGAGAGTCAGTATGCGCGACATTCGCCTTTGAGGCATCAAGGCAAGGTACTTACAAGATGGCGTAGACCTTGCGGATGAAGGCCATCCGGATATCCAGCGTCGCCTCTGCCACAACACCACCGAACTTGAAATCATCGGGCAGGTTGTCATTTTCGCCGCGGGGGACGCCGCTGAGGAGGGCTTCTTGGGGGTCGTTGGCCGCCTGGTAGCTGGGTGGCGCCTGCGGATATGACGGCGCGGGTGCCGCCTCGTCGAGCGAGTCGCGCTGAGGCACGTTTTGGTATTTGGGTGCACCCATCGTGATGGATTTGTCGCAAAGATCGGTTGCGTGCGATGCGAAGGGGGGAGTTGAGGTGCGCGTGAGAGTGGAGGTGGAAGGATGAAGGGTAGTTGAGATGCGTTAGGGCTGTGCTGACTTGATGAGGTCACAGCCGCGGAACTTCGTTTCACGTGCACTCGTCACGCAACCCCGACATCGAAGCTTCGAGTTAACTCCAGACTGCCAGCTCCAACAATCACATTCGATACCGCACAGTCTGCTCGTGTTGTTGAAGTCTTATCTTCCTGTACCAAGACATGATCATTGTCGATCAGATTCTTCCATCAACATCTAAAGTCCAAGATCTGACTGGCTCGGTATTCTCGGTTTAAAACACAATGAAGCCGGCATTGACATCGGGTCACCTAAGTTGCACAGTTTCATCTTGACGGATGCTAGAGAACCGGTCAGCGACTCCTTTCATCAAGAGAGGGACGTCTTACTTGCAGCAGCCGGACCCTCTACCCGTTCTGACTGCGAAGAGTCGAATACATGGGTAGCGGATAATCGCAACATCTGTAGCCTCTTGCGATGCAGTGCGCCTGCCAACCCATGCCAATAGCGTCCAACGTCCAGTTATCATAGTGTGCGATCTGCACTGGACAGCCTCTTCGGGTCCTACACGCTCAGCAACGTCTACCTATTTTGGATATGCATATCTGCAAGGACTCAGCCGCACACGGCTCAGTTGCACAACTCCATGACTGCCAATGATGATTCAACATGGCGTCTTAGCCACACTGGGGCCGTTCTCAAGGCTGTTGCCTTGATTATGCTTCCGGTCTTGCTTGCGAGGCCGGAAGGATACTTGGCCCCCAAAACAGCTTCTTTATGAATCCTGCCCTTCCCCTCAAACGGCATCGTAGGCAAGAAGCACTCTAGTATCGATGGCTAATGTCTATGCGCGACCCTGTCAAACTACCCTACTTCAGCCCCCACGTCCAGACAATGGGATATGCAGCGATGCTACTCCCCTCATGAGCTTATCGCAGCGCGCCGACGAGGCCTCATCACAAAGCGACATCCCCACTCACCCCACTCAGCTTGATCAGAATTCGCAAGCTCAGATCAGCGCTGGAAACTCAACTGCATCACGCCGCTGGACTCATCCGAAACTTCCACGCCCAATCAGCAAGGCATCACAAGCTTGGGATTCGCGACTCAGAAGAAGCCGCTTCCATGGGTGGCGTATGGGAGTGCTGTTTGGTTGTTGCATGTCGTTCCTTGTCCTTTGTTGCAACATTGCTCTTATCGCAATCGGAGCAAACAGCAAATTCGGTTATGACCACGAAGGCATATCTTCAATCCTCGAAGGCGACGAGACGCGCATCGCACGATGGGACTCTGCTTTGCACGTTCTCATTAACGTACTCAGCACCGCGTTGCTATCATCGTCAAACTACACTATGCAAGTCCTGAGCTCCCCGACACGGAAAGATGTGGACGCCGCGCATGCGAAAGGACAGTGGCTCGATATTGGGCGACTAAGTCCTCGGAATTTGAGGGCTATCTCACGCAGCCGCGCGACCCTTTGGTTGATCTTAGTATTATCCTCGACACCATTGCATTTATTGTACGTTGTTAGATGAACTCCCGGACTACAAAGGCTCATCAATTCTAGCTATAACGCCTCGGTCTTCAAAGTGATCACGTCCCGGAAAGGTCACTCCTTTGCAACACTGGACGTGTCATCGGATGCATGGAAAGAAATCGCTGATGCTACTGACAACGACACCTGGACCCATGGCGCGTACTGGAATTTGCCCGCTGATCGATGGGACGAGCCATACTCTAAAGAACACATCTCCATTTATGGTGACTTGTATCTCGCAATCGATAGGGTGTCGATCAGACTCAGGTCGCCTCCACCAGCCTTGAACCTTTCGCAATTTAACGCCGCGGACGTGGAAACCTCGACTGGTGCAGATAGCTTGACACCAAAGAAGATTATAGTAGATTCACCGGAGTGGCTAAACTACAACAGCCTTGCTCACGGCTTTAATCGCCTGACCGGAGCCTATCTACACGTAGCGAAGGCCTCATCATTCAAGATGCTGGACTCGCCCAGTACAGTGCAAGTCAGCCTCTACTTTCTTGCTGTGGTGGTCACTTTCAACTTGGTCAAGCTCATTGTTCTGCTCACGGTCCTCCTCACAGATCGATCAGAGTACCTCGTCACCTTAGGAGATGCCGCCAGCTCGTTCTTGAAGCGAGAAGACCCTTACACGATTAGTCGATGTCTCCTTAGTCGAGAGACTGTATCATCAAGTCTAGGTCATTCACTGAAGAAAAGCAAATACGACGAAACCGATAGAAAGGAGCTTAATCTTCGGCTGCGAGACGTCTGGCTTCCACGTTCACGGTCTTACTTTTCTCCTTTCCATGATCGCGTCCAGTTCATCTACACATTTTCGTAAGTGAGCCCCCAATAAGTCCTGAATCTTGACTGAGTATCTAGGATCGGATTCTTCATATTCGTCTTCGCGATTGTCCTTGCATGGAGCCTGAGCTCAAACATGCAATGGGGAACTTCATCTACCTCTTACATATTCTCTTCTGGAAGCACATCGGTTGTAGCTACACTATGGAGTGCTTGGCTGGCCAATATCCCGCAGCTACTTTTGTCATCCTGCTACTTCACGATCAACCAATTCTGCACATCAATGGCTGGAGCAGAAGAGTGGAACAACCTAGCGACATCCAGGAAAGGCCTCAGAGTCACCCAGCCATATGATCATCAAAGAAGTACTTACTTCCTAGAACTACCATACAGATGGAGCCTTCCTCTGCTTGCGATTAGTGGAACACTCCACTGGTTGATGTCTCAGGCTTTCTTCCTGGTCCGGATAGATACGTGGTATTCCAGTACCCTGAGTTCGACAGCAGCATGCGGGTTCTCAGCTCTGAGCCTTATAGTTCTACTATCCGTTCTTTTCGTATTGCTCGGCATTATAGGCGTGGTTGGACTCAGGAAAAGACAAACAAGAGTACCCATCGTGTCGTCTTGTAGCTTGGCGATAAGCGCTGCTTGTCACCCACCGCCTAAAGAAGTTGATGCGCACTTGGCCAAGCTTCAATGGGGCGTCACGGAAAATGAGGTCGTTGAAGGATTTGGACATTGCTCGCTTTCTGCAGGGAGCGTGACCGAACCGGAAGAGGGAAAGATGTATTACTAAATTGGTGGCTACCCCACACCGAATGAGCGCTACGCATTGCTTGCGGGGAAACTGCGGACGGTCGTATGAGGAAGTCGGTATGGGCGAAGCGGTAGTCACGTCGAACGGAAAGCACGACATGGCTGTTCAACCCCCGCAGTCTCGCTGCCTTCCGCTCCTGCCAATTTTCCTTTGACACTCATGTCACTCAGCGCAGACTTCCTCAAGCACAAGATCCGAGACACCACCCGCCATGCGCATCCCCGCTACTGCCATGATGCTCAGCATGCTCCTGCTACTGATCTTTTGCATCCAAGACATCGCCGCCTTACCAACCGAAGCGTCCGACAATCTGTGGAAGCATATGACCGTACGTCGCTTCCGTCCGGATTACAAGGGTCAGGTACTGACAGATTTTCCTCTAGATCCAAGTCTGTAACGTGGCCAACTTCAAAGGAGCCTGCCGTTACTTCGACGTTATGGTGGACGAGTGTCGCGACATCAGCAGTGATTAGTACGTATAGATTATGTGATCTTGAGATATGAAGCTTGTGCTAACACATGCGCCTCAGCTCCAGAGAGATAAGCTCAGTTCGCGCCGTGACCCATATGGGCTGCTGTCAACTGTATCGGTATGCTCGTTCCTTGCTACCTTCTGTATAGTCTGACCACACGCTCACCAAGGCTAATTGTAGAACTCCGCGCTGCGAGACTCTCTTCGGCGATACCGACATGGCCGTACGCTGGGGCGAAGGCGGTAAATCGACACTTTCAGGTTGGACGAAGCGGGATATCAAGAGCATGAAGTGCTTCATCCTGGGCCGGCCGACCGAGATGATCGACTACTACTGAGTGAGCGTCGCGGGGACGAACAAGGGTAGATGCGCCGGTATACCATGCGCTCGATCTAGACATGGCTTCAAGACTGGGATAGTCGGTAGCTAGGAAGCTTCACAAAAGCTATTTGTCTTAATATGAGTAAAGAGACCCGGGATTTGTTTGACATCGAGAGCGGACAATGGTACAATGGTGGTATATTATGGTCTATACGAGGAAGATAATCCGAAAGATGCTCTATGTTGTCCCGCATGGAACTGTAGCGGACCGTACAGGTAGTGTACATGATATCATAGTAAAGGTCAAGGTATCGGTAGGAAGAAGAGGGCCGAGCGGTCAAACTCGGGCGGGGTATATAATGTCGTGACGTCGTAGCGCGAGGGTATCGTGAATAAAAGAGGAGCTGAGGTACTAGCCAAGCGCAGGTACGAAGTGGAAATGAGCGAGAAAAGAAGGAAGGCGGATGAGTCCAGCAGCCGGCGCCGGGCTCGAGTGCTCATCGAAAAAGGGGAAGTGAGGTCGAGAGGGGACGTATTCTCATGACTGCCACTCGCATTAGAGCAGCTTGAAGTTCTTTTCTTCGCAGTGGACACCAAAAGCTTCGTCGTCCATTTTACCGTAGATGTAAGCTTCGCCGACGAATAGGTACCCAAGATGCTCACCAGAGCCATTTTGAGTTGGTCGGAGGATGACGGGGACGCTGCAGCCATACAGAATAGCAATCACATCTCCCTTCTCAGTCCTAGGTGGCCCAAAGCCAACGAGTTCGTCATGCTCGAAGTCGCAAGTATTGGTGGTGGCACTACAAATGGGGTTGCCTCTGAGGAAGGATCGGTTCCAAGTGACAGCACGGACGCGACAAAGGTAGTCATACACGATGTCATTGGGGCCGCCTCGAAGGTTCCGTCGTAGAACGGTGTTGATGTTGATGTGTCCATTATTCGTCTGATAGGTAAGGCAATGTTGACATGCTTTCTTGTACCAATGAGGGGGTGGGTTGCCCTGCGGATCACGGTCTGCCACGAGAGTTTGCCATAGCTTGGCTGGAACCTCGGTAATTTCTATCGCGTCCTTGTCGAAGACCCATCCCAGACCTTCCAAACAATCTTTGGTGATAACACCATCGGGAAACGGGTCTGTGCGGAAGGAGACTGTTCCTATCATGACACCTCTCACGGAAATCGACATATCGTGTATGACTTGGGAAGGTGGGGCCGAGGCACGATGGACAGGACTCCGGGGGAACTTGACACGGGCTTGCTTGCCCTGCCTACCGCAAGCGTTGTAGTTGTTACTACCGGGTAACCCGACAAAGCTGTCGCCAGCCTTTCGACCGCGAAACAGATCTTCGCCCTTTCCCCAGGCAGAGTCTTCCACGAAAAGGATCCAGGAAGGTAGTTGAACTAGTCTAGGGGTTGTTGGAGTTCGTTCATGGCGTTCCTTTAATGCCCAGTGGCGACAGATTATGTCGATGGATCCCGAGGTCTCGACAACCCATTTAACAAAGTCGCGATATATCTCAAAGAGATCGTTACTGTAGTTTGGAACAGGCGGTGGCCTATGCTGTCCTGCGGCACGCGGGTTATATCTAGTCACCTCTTTGGATATACTTCTAAAGGCATTGATTGTATCGCGTGGATCGGAGGTGTCGAAGCCGGACAAAGAGCATACCAAGCTCTCCAATCCTTTGGTAGATTCCAGGGTGCCGTCGGGTCGCTTGCGAAACAATGTGGATGTCATATCCACCAACAGCTTGGCACCGAGGTGCTCAATCTCTAGGGTTGAGTCATCGTTCAAGTGACTGCGCTTGGCCTGAGAGGACTCGTAATACATCATGAGCCGGGCTTTCAGACCATCGAAGTGTCGGTGGAAGATAGCGATAGCAGTTTGGAAGTCGCTCCAGTCCTGCACATGCTTGCCACAGTGAACTGAAGCGGATTGTGCAAATGCCAGCTCTTGTATGACCCAGCGCCTTGAGAACCTATGGGACATGAGCGGAGAAAAGCCATGTTGAACGACCATGCACTTACCAGCTCCACTTGAGAAGTTCGTACAGGCTTGCCCAATCTTCAATATAAGCATCGCCAGTGAGAAGAGCTATGTGATTCTCCGGATCGATGACCTTGGGGATAAAAGCCATAGCCCTGTTGGAGACGAGATCATCAGGATTGTCGGAGCCAAGCCATACATTCACGTTGTAGGCTTTACGGTAGATGTGCGCCATCTTTAGTACTTGCTCTTCCTTTTCTTTGGTGTCAGATTGATTGATGCACAATGCGTCCACCCAAAGCGCGATAGTCTCGTTCTCTTTTCGCAGATGTCTCAGAGCTTCGTAGAGGTTTGGTTTGACCTTGATCAATTTGTCTTGCACAGCCGCTCGGAGTACATCCACTGCTTTCCTGATGGACTTGACGGGAGACGAAGCTGGATCATCCTGGATGACAATAGTACTGTCGTCTGCGCTATTGCCCCAGTTGTAGAAAAGAGCTGAGTACGGGTAATCTTCGCTTCCAAGGTGATTATCGCTAACAACTAGTAACGTAATTGTATTTATTAATCTAGTATTACAAGTAATAGTATATAAGTATATAAGAATAAGTATAAAGTATAAGGCCTCTATAGCCTACTTATAATTAAATAGTAAATAATATAAAGCTTAGCGCGCTAAGCTTTAGCTAATATTTTAATATTTTTAATTTTTTACTAAAAATTACTTTAGTACTATAATCTATTAACGTAATACTTATTTATAAGCGTTTATTAAGACTTTTATAAAGAGTTCTTAGTACTAAAATACTTAAGTACGTATACTAAGCGTAATAAATAAAAGTTCTAAAAGTATTTTTTTATTTTCTAATACTTACTTTACCTACTATATTAGTAAGTACTCTTTTCTATTTACTATATATTACTAACTAAATAAATTATATTAATACGCTTTAATAACTACTAAGTAATCTTTTTAGATTAACTTCTTAATAACTTTAACTTATTACTTACTTCTACTTTTCTTCTTAATAATAAGACACTATTTTTATAGTTATAAAATAAAATTAAAAAAATTTATAGCTATAATATTAGTAGTAACTTTACGTCTATATGTAGTACTAATATTACTAGTATTAAACTAAAAATTATTAATAATATAGTTATAGCTTAAGTTAATATTAAGAAAGCCTACGTTATTTTAGAAACTAGCTAGCTTATTCTTCTATAAGTTCTTTATCTTAACTAGAGTAACTATAGAGATAAGGTGTTAGAGAAAATTATTAGGTAGTAGCTACTAGCTCTTAATAACTTTTAACGTAAAATAGGTACAAGAAAGATTATAAGTAAGAAAGATGTAGACTTTATAAAGAAGCTGTTTAGAGAAAAGAACAAGGCTTAGATAGCTAGAGTACTGCGTTAATGTGCCTAAGTCTAGCATAGGTACAGGAATAGGTAAATAGCGCATGTTGCGCTAGAAATAAGCAAAAGAATGTTAGTAATAGTGTAGTGTTAGTTATTAATCAAAATACTATTAAATAAGTGTCGATTTGTCCCCTGGGGTTCCCCTCAACTAGGCGCCACTACCTAACGACTAGTAACGAAGCGTTGATCTGCTCATCAAAGGTGCCCGGCTTGACGAGTAGAAGACGAACTTGATCGTTAGGAATACGTTTGTAATGGTACATCCTGCTCACTTGGCCCAGGACTTCCACCCATCTGGTACCTTTTGATGAGGCAGATGGGCTATTTGTGGTTGTGTTAAAGCTGTGCCTGTTGATCTTGACAGCATGGCGTGGCGCCCATGCGTGTTTGGAAAGGACAATAGGCGGGGTCGGACGGGTGATGTCGCGTTCAATCGTAGGGTCTTCGACGCGGAGAACGCGTTTCACAAGGGACTGAGGAGTGTTCGGCGTATCATCGAATTGAGTCTCTGGATCAACCGCAGTGCTGTATATTGGTAATGTTGAAGAGTGTCGGAGGGAAGCCTGCCCTCGTCCAACGTGTGGTGGGGTATGAGGCGGAGATTGAGGGATGGTATTCGTGCGGGCGGAAGCTGTCGAGCGGCGAGTAACCTTCGGCGAACGATCCATATTGTCATGCTGAGCTTCGGGTCTCCGCCGTTTCTGGGGCGAGTTGGGTGGTTGTTTCTTAGGGGTCATCTTGAGGACTCGAAGACGGTGGACCAACCTGAAGGAGGGATGATGCGCCGAGAATTAAATACCTGAGTAAGAGTCATAGTTCATAGCTGCAGGAACAGAGGTTCCGCCCACAGCGCCACGCGTTCAAGTGGTGGCGCCCACAGACAACCCCTGATCTGTGCATGCAAAGCACTAGAGATGGGTTGTGTGTGTGGTGGAGGAAATCATTGGTATGTCAACAACATCCACATGCGGACTTCCAGGGCCTGGGACGGATAGTTGCTTTTCGTAAGGTCGCAGCACATATCGAATAGACGGGAGCGACTGGCCCCCTACGCTAAGCCTCCGGGCCGCATCACTTCTCAGTATCGGCATCGGAGACGGCCGACGGAAGAGCGATTGCGTAGAAGGATCAAGTACCCTTGCTTGAACGCTCGCTGTAGGCTAGTAATTGGTAAGCTGGGGCCCAAAAGTTGTCTTTTCACAAATAGTTCTTCGCGATATGGTATCGCAAGTATGTCATTGACACTTGATAGTTAAGGTGAAGGCGGGCATGTCCAACGACAGATAGGCGGAAGCGATGGATTACCAGGTGACCATGACGAAATGTCCAGTCTGGCGGTGTGGGGTCGTTGCGGCGTAGCGGTATTTTTGGGGCTGAGGCTGTGGCTCTACTGACATATGAGAGGTCTCCTGCATCCTGGTTGTGTTCGGCAGCCCTGTCACCCAAGTCTAGACGTTAGAAGAATCAATGTGATGGGAGCAGGTGGGGCTGTGCCTGCCAAGGCCAGGCACGCTCGTGGAACTACCGACTGGAAGGTAGCAAAGTTGATGTGATTCGAAGGATCAGCCTATTGTAACCCTCCAAAGATAGTGTTGAGCCTTGCG